AAAAACTATTTTTTTAAATTCGAAATAATTAATCGGTATGTTACAACTAAAATTTTGATATTTGTTTTAGTAATTGCACTTTCAACATTTTAAAAAACTAAACTACTTTATTATTTAGTTTATTTCGTGGAGATAAAAGCCATTTTTTTTAATATGAAATAATTAATCCTATGTAGTATTTCGTAATTAAAATTTCAATATTTTTTTCCAAATGATCTTTTGCTGGTGCGTTAATATGTTTTATCCTTGAAATATTTCTTAAAAAAATTAATTGTTACATTCGTTTTGTTGATATATTTTATCCAATGAATTTAGTTAATATTAATATCTTAAAAATTAATTCATCGTTTTATTTCGTTTATTAGTCTTCTAAAAATACTTTATAATAGATTTTGTTTATTTTAAAAAGACATAATGGCGGAAAAATACACGACCTTTACTTGATTGACCATTTAATCACGACTTTCAAACCTTGGCAAATAAATACATGACCTTTACATTCTTGGCAACTTGATACACGGATTTAACGTCCGTCAACGGAAAGCTGACGTGGGATTGACTCAGCAAACAGAAGTCAAATCATCAGTTAAACCTTGGCAGTTTAATACACCACCTTTGGTTTTTTGGCAACCTGATGCACGAACTTACCCTATTTTGGCAAAAAGCTGCCACATCATTATTTTATTTTATTTTTTATTTAAATTCATTTAATTTACTTTTATTATTTTTCTTTATTTTAATTATACTTTTCCTATTGAAATTATGTTTATAATTTAGATATATAGTGATTACAAACAAAAAACAAATAAAAAATATATATTATTTTATTTAATTTTTAATTCATATGTTTTATTTGATTCTAGTTTAATATTTTTCAATATTTAATATATTCAGTATTTAATTAATAAATTAATATTAATATAGTAAATAATGAATAATAAATAATAGAACATATATATAGAATTCAATAAAACATATAATTAAAATCTAATATATTTATTTATTTAGATAAATAATTTTACATGATTTATATTATATGTATTTAATATATTTATTTATTTAG